GGGTTTAAAGGTTTAGGGCTTAAGGGCTTCAGGGTGTAAGGGTTTAGGGTTTAAGGGTTTAGGGTTTAGGGTTCAAGGTTCTTTCCAGGACCTTGCCTCGTCATTGCCACGCAGATGCGACGATGTTGGTAGCTTTTCGGGGCTTCTGAAGCTCTTCGGGTTTTTTGGTACACTGACATGGCCTAAGCACACTCAAGGGATGGGTTTTTGAGTGGTCTTCCTGTCGAGGGGCATGGAGGATCCAGCAACGATGAGGAAACAGTACTAGCAGTGACAGTTTTGGATTCAGGGCGCATGAGACAATGCAAGCCCGTAAGCCGAGATTCTGGGCTGTAGGTTTTTTCTAAAAGTCAAGACAAGCAACTGCAACTCCACGCGTAATAGGCAGCATAATGTCGAGAGTTTACCGACTCAACGGCAGTTATTCGCGGCCTTTGAACCTCAGTTCGAAAGTTGTTCTCTTGTTATCTTCTGGGAACCCTATGCTCAGGAAATAACTGTAGGTACATGAAAGTCTCAGAGACGAACTTGAGGATGCTGAGAGCCTGGGGATCGGGTTCACAGGTTAAAGTTGGTTGTAGAATTCTGCCTTAACAAATAATTATAATAAGGAACCCAAAAATAGTAGAGGTACTTATTTAGGCTTCTATATTACAGTCTGAGGCTCGCCATCTTCCTTTTGTGCCGAGCCACAGAATGTCAGAGTGCCACCATCGCACCAGAAAGTCGTGAGACCAGGGAGTGTTCTTCATCAGCCACCTTGGACGACGGGTGGAAGGCTTCAAAATGGTCGATTTCTCGAACATGAAATACTATCACACTTGTGCATATTCTGAAATTCTGAAAATTACCGGTCCATTCTCAAGGGTTTGGGGTTTGAGGCTTCAGGGTTTTTGTTAGGGCCTAAGGCTATCGTTCATGGTTGTGTTGTCCAGCAGACAAGATGCACACCATTGTTGATGCCAGAGGAGTCCGTCGCGACCTTGCGTGCTTCTTTTATCGGCTTCTCGAGTTGAGATTTGCAGTTCGCAGTTCCTGCCGGTAACCCGGGGAACCTACCTTGCTACTGCTGATGATCTAAATCCAACATTACCTTAAATACCCTAAACTATGGGAATTATGGTATATTCCTGACTATGGGTAATGCAGGGTTTACATCTAAACTGAAAAGCTGCTCCTTATTACAGTAATTCCCTTTAGGTGTCAATGTGTGCTCCCCAAACCCTAAACCCCAAACTGTAAACCCTAAACTGCCACCTTCCCTCACCTCAAGGCACACAGTCTTCGAGACGGAATGTAACAGCTGAACAGTGTAGGAGTTGCCGCAACCTAAATCCTGAAGCCACCCAAATCAAAAAAAAAACGTCGTCCTTCCACTTATAAGATCAACTCCTGAAGTCTAGACCCCAAAACCCGACATGCTCAACCCTCAACTCTACACCCCTGACAGCCTGAAGCCTAAGCTCTACACCCTCGTCATCTTAGGGGCTGAGTACCCTAGCCCAAAAAAGGTTAACCTTTTCAATTATGGTCGGATTATATAGGCCCCAAAAGGTTAAGGGTTACCTAGTCAGCCACTAAGTCATTCTGTCGGTGGCAGCCTGAGGTCCAAGCAATCAGCGACACCTGTGCTCTTCGACTGCTTCTCTTCTTCTTCAGATCGTTGGGTTGAAGTCTCGGGGGTGCCTACATATTTAGGGATCCTTATTATTGTTATTATTATTATGGTTTCTAATATTTCTCTATATAAGTCCTGACAAAGGTAGGCGGTTATTTGGGGCTTGAGAATCCTAAGCCCGTGCTTTTGTTATCCGATGGGTTGTGCAGTAAAGATTTCCAAGGGCCATCGTATTTTCGGCCACTTGACAGACACCCCAAAAATATGTAGGACAGAAGATCTTGAGCCCAAACCGACCCAAAACCCTAAACCCTATAACCACTAAACTGGCCCTAAACCCGGAAACCCCTACACCCCTAATCCCAAAGCCCTTAAACTCTGCCCCACCTCTGGCGGCATCGTTGGCTGGAGCCGTTGCCGCAGCTGGGCGAGTTCCGAAGCCTCTTGCAACTGCCTGGTTTACGGGTTTAATGTGGTCTGGGGGTTTAGGGTTTAGGGTGGTTTGGGGGTTTAGCGTGATGGGGTTTGCGGATTAGGACATGATGAGGGTTTAGGGTTTAGGTGTTTAGGGCTTAGGGCTTTAGGGGTTGGGGTTTTTAGGGAGTAGGATTGAGGTGTTCAAGGTTTAGGCTGCTTGGAAGGCGTCTGAAAAGTCAGGATCCCAGTTGAAGGCTCACTTGTCAGGCGGCTCGGTACACGAATTTACGGCCCGAAACCCTAAACCCCCTGGCTTTATGGGTGCAGGCATCAATGGGTTCCAAAGTGGGTGGGGGACCGTTGGTCATGGAGGAGCTGCGGACTTAGTAGGTTTGAACCGGAAGTTACACTATCCTACACCCTAAACCCTAAACCCTAAGCCCTAAACCCTATAAGCCCTAAACCCAAAGCCCTAAACCCTAAGCCCTAAACCCTAAGCCCTAAATCCTCAGCCCTAAAC